CGTTGCCTTCCGGCGTCAGCGCAAGCTGAGAAAAGTATGGGATCTCTTCATCATTGTTGCCAACAGGCGTCAGGGTCACCTGTTGGTTTGTTTGGTGAAGCAAACAGGCGACATCGTGTGTGTGTGTGTGTGTGTGTGTGTGTGTGTGTGTGTGTGTGTGTGTGTGTGTGTGTGTGTGTGTGTGTGTGTGTGTGTGTGTGTGTGTGTGTGTGTGTGTGTTATGTGAGTGAGTGAGTGTGTGTGTGTTATGTGAGTGAGAGTGAGTGAGGGGGGAGGAAGGAAGGGAGAGAGAGCATGGAAGGGTGATGGTAGCAGGTTATGGGAGCGCAGTACAGGTGAACGCGCGCATGTACACACACGCATACACGCACACGCCCATGAACACACACGCGTACACACGCACACACGTATACGGAAACAAACTCACCCTGAAGCGGGTACCGGCCTCGAGCCTGATGACACGGTGGCTCGTGAACGGCTTGCGAACCGTCTTTGGGAATCCGGGGATGTCCTCTTTGGCCGCAAGATCATACGACCAGCGTGCAACGGACACCTATTAAGCCACGCATTGCGAGGGTGTGTGTGTGCGTGTGTGCGTGTGTGTTGTGTTGTGTGTGTGTGTGTGTGTGTGTGCGTGAGGAACTGGCTGGAAACAGGAGAACAGCAATCGTCTCACAACTTGCTTCTACTCATCCCCCGCCCATTACAACTTCGCATTCGACATCCTCACACCACCAACTTACCCTGTATTTGGGGAAGGTGTTGCCCCAATCGCCGTCGATGTTGATCGTCATCTCCGTGAGACCGAGGTTAAGTGTGATGGTCGGAATTTCAACTACACAGCCACGGGCAAGCGATGGTGACATGAGGTACGCTTGAGATGACAATTACGCATGCCCCCAGCCTCACTAAGGACCAGGAACACAAGAGTGTCTCTTCGCCAAAAACACACACCTGCAAACGCAAAGCAAGCAAGCACATCACATGACACAGTGATGGTGCCTACCGAGGCAGCTGTTTTCTTGCTGTGCTCCAAACTCGCACACGCAGTCGAACGATCCCTCCGTGTTGACGCACACGGAGCCGGGATAGCAGTCATTCTCGCCAGTCAGGCACTCGTCAATATCTGCATTCCATTTGAAAGTGGTGGTGCATAGGTGACATTGATATGGAGTTCCACATCAATACCAGATGCAAGAGTTGCATCCCCACCCATCCATAGCTGTACATACGTTCAAGCATACATACGAACTTGCACACAAAACACACGCACACACAGAACAAACATACGCGTACACATACGTACGAGCATATACGTACACCCACACACACTCTCTCTTACCGCCCCCCCCCAACATACACACACACACAACACATATAAGCCTCACCTGTACACTCTTTGGCTGTGCCAAGCCAGTCAACTTCACTCCCAATCCAGTCGCATGTTCTTGTCAATGAACCAAACATGGACAGCTCGTAGCCGGTGTTGCACTCCTTGTACTTGCATGCGTCGCCTGCGCACATGTCCATGCGTGTAAGAAGTGACAAGAACGCTCAGATCATGTCGTGTCATGCCATAGCATCCAAGTTTGACTGTCCTCCAACCACACCTTGGTCGTAGCTCTCCACCACCGGATACAACGCACAAGTGCTTGTTAACAACCCAACAGTCGCATAACATCAGTGCTCGCTCACCGTAGTTGCCGGAGCAAGCCCCCTCCGTCACGCCGTTGACGAGCGACAACGAGCTGCACGATTGCACTGTGGTTGGCGCACAACAGCCAAGCGGACGAGAGATGGTCATGTGCAAGATTGCGAGCACACACACACACACACACACACACACACACACACACACACACACACACACACACACACACACACACACACACACACACACACACACACACACACACACACACACACACACACACACGCGCGCGCGCTGTGAGGAACAAGGTCGGTCAAAAGAGGCCAAGCGACCCGATGCTGTGAATGCGTGTGGCTGTCCGAACCGAACGCCCAGCCCTGCGGCCTAACGACACCAACCCGTGCACAACATGCTTACATTCGCAGGCGCGATCCACAAGCTTGTAGCCATTGTCTTTGTCACAGGTAACCTGACGTGATTGCGATGATGGAAACAGTATCGCATGCATTGCCACAATGAACCAACAACAACAGTAGCAGCGCCACCGCCACCAGTACCCAAACGCTATTTCTCTCACGTCCCACCCTCAGCCACCTTCCGCGAGACGATTCGCTAATGTTCGGGTTGACAGGCAGCGGAGACAAGAAAGGCTCGTGCATTGCAAATGTTCACTTACGCCACAAGTTTGGAATGACCACACGCGGTCCTCTGAAACAAACAACAACACAGTCGGTGGGTGCAGAAGTGGTACAGCACCAAACAAGACGTGTGAGATGAAACATTGAGGTGATTCCAATACCATAGCTGCGCGAGTTCGCGGCAGAGGCGCATTTGATGCACAAGATGCAGGCCTGCCACCTCGAAATCAGGAACACACACACACACACACACACACACACACACACACACACACACACACACACACACACACACACACACACACACACACACACACGCCCAAAGTTCTGTCGTTCAGATGTACCGTTGCGGTTGGCGTGACTTGAAGCGAGACCTGACGATCAGGAGCAGGACGGCCACGAGCGCATGTGCAGCGTGCGGTTGTGTTTATGTGTGTGATTGCGTGTGTGTGCGTGTGTGTATGCATTTCCAGTGAGTGGGCGTGTGTGTCTTTGAGAGCAGGAGCAGGTAGGCAGACAGGCAAAGCCGAGGGACAGCAGCAACGAACCATGATGGCAGGATGGTAAGGCAGCAAAGCTCCGCACTAACACACACATGCTTACGCACCACACAACACCTGAGCACCTCACACACACACACACGCACACACACACACAGAAACACGCGTATGGCTTGCTCTGAGCAAGCTCGGGCTTGTTCGTTCGTGTGTTGACTGGAACACTGTGCGCACCTGTGATGACAGCGGTAACTGGCGCATTGTACTCGAGAGGGTTGTTGTATGTGTTCTCCTGAGGCCCGAAGCGGCAGTTTGTCAGGCTTCCGCCGTTGATGCTGGAGCACTGGACCTGCCAGCGTCGATCCTCGTTCTGTTGTTGCAGCATTGCATTCATGGTGGGACCGTCGAGAAGAAACGTGAACACATGCAGTGGGTGGGTAATAGGGCAATCGCTCAATCGAGCAACTGACTCCTCCAGCCACCCCCTTGCATTCTCATCTCTTCATCTCATGAATCCGTGTCACCCACGCACGTCATTGTCGTGGTAGCTGTTGAGCCCGGAGATGTCTAGAGAGCAGCAAAGCAATACCATCGTCCTATCGTCAAGTGACACGAGGACACGAAGGACACGAAAGATGCGGCATTTCACGTCTCATTCGCACACTCCACCTCGCCAGCGTCACAATTCACCGCCAGCTTACAGCACACCACCCAGAGAGTGCCCCAGGCGCGTTAACGGGCGAACTTTGGGCTTACACTTGTTGGTCGGGCAACTGTAGCTGAGATACTGATCGTACTGGTTGAGGGGATACGCTGACCACTCTGTTTCAGATTGCCATGCTCCGATAGTGGCGCAGCCAAAGGACCACACTCGATCCTCTATCCAAGTATTGAAGCAATGAGACACCGCCGAACACAGGAAGATGAGCGTGAATGCCGAACAAGAAGAAGAGAAAAGAACTCAACGTTGGCCAAGCAAACACACCCACAGCAAGCAAACAAGGTGTGACCCTTTGGGTGTAGGCGTGGGAGGCTGCATGCAGCACGACGCGCAAGCAGCATCCTTTGCTGAGGCATCATCGAACCGTGTCTCTGCCTTGTTTCACACATGCACACCTCCACAGTCCACAACCTTAAACCCTTTCACTCACACTCACCCACTCACTCACCCACACACACACACACACAACACACACACACACACACACAACACACACACACATACAGCACACACACTTCACTTGCTTACCGTTTCTGTTGGCATGCCAGGAGGACGCGGAGATGAGGCCTTGGCCCGCAGGGCAGGTGTAATGGAGAGGGCCATTGTAGTTGTTGACCACTGCAAGTGCTTGCCCGCAGAGGAGGACAAGCAACGTCAGGAGGCACACACTCCGCCTCCACGCTGCTGCACTACGGTGAGCAGTAGCGCACCACAGCATGGCCCAGGGTGCAACACTGGTTGATCGATAGAGGGCGGGAGGGGGTGGTAGGTGAAGTTGTTCGGTTGGGGGAGGCTCGCCCTTGTATCAGCGACAGCGGCACGCTTGTTGTTACTCTTACTGTTAAACGAAGTTGATCCAACATGTATTTGATCTTGTATTGTGTGCGTGTGTTAGGTTGAGCAACCACCTGCCTCTGGCCTTTTAGGCGAGGGTGCAGCTAGGTCGGTGTCAGGTTGCACCAGGAGGATCAAGCGCGCGGGAGTATGATGTGATGTGACATGACGTCACTTTCGCGGGTTTTCGTTGACATGACATTTTGGGTGTAGCAGACGAACAGTAGAATGGGTGCCTCATGTCACATCAGTCGTACCACTCTTGGCTTTCACCTCACAGCGTTTCTGGGTAACATGATGTGCCATGCATGCACCTGTTGCTTCAAGCTTAACTTGTCGTTCTTGTCTCTGCACAAGTGTTTATGTTACTTCTGTGGTCGCAATGGCCAGGCAAGTGTTTCAGTCGGCATAGCACAAGAACACATTCAAGGAAAGAGCGACAGCACACGGACACACACACACACACACACACACACACACATGCACACGCCCACACACACACACACACACACACACACACACACACACACACACACACACACACACACACACACACACACACGCCCACACACACACCCACACATGCACACGCCCACACACACACGCCCCCCCCCCCCACACACACACACGCACACACGCACACGCCCTCTGGAAGGTCTGTAAGGCCGTCGTGGTGATTGTGCTGGTGACTGGATCGAGGGTGGATACGCCAAACGGCACACCCAAGGTGCGGCCATCACTCACGAACACGGCTCCTCGTCATTTCTTCCGTCCTTGCGGCTGTGGCGGCGCGATGGATTCGATGTCTACGGTGCTGGCCCACGTGAGCACGTGCGTTGAAAGGCATGCAGTAGATGAGGCCCTTGGGTGCTAGCGCACCGCTTGACCACTTGAAACTAAGGTGAACAAGCCCAAAGCCGGTCGCTGCGCGTCAGCAGTGTTGGTTGTGGGGTGTGTTCAGGATGAGGACTGACAGGAGGTGGCAAGGAACATCGAGCGTTGTGGCTGGTCGTTGTGGCTGGTCGTTGTGGCTGGTCGTTGTGGCTGGTCGGGACGCCGTCAGATATCCTCGTTGTCAACAACCACGCCACTCGCCCACTCACTCGAGGGTCACCCTTGATGCCCAGCGTTGTTGATTGCGCATCTGCACCGTTCGTTGCGGGATGAGGACCGGCGGGGGAGGCGGTGGAAAGGAACGCCATACCGCCGTCAGCATCCCGTCGTTGTACATGACACCACTTGGACAAGCCCGGTCGTGGTGGTGGGTGTCTGGGTGTTGTCAGCTGCTGGGATGTGAGGGCTGCAAACGCCCCGCGGAACCACGTCGACTCGCTGCTGCTGCTGCTGCTCTTGCTGCTGTTCGAGGATGGTGCTGCTCGGCGAGCGTGTGCACACGCTTACATGCCACATCGCTCCCCGAAATAGAGCCCCTCCTCATTCGCTGTGCGTGATGCCGACGCCACTGGTGCTGTCGCTGCTGTGTTGATGCGAAGCGCGCCGGGTTCGCTGTCAGAGCGGCATCGTCACCTCGTCACTGGCACCACATCATCCATCAACTGCCGCATCTCAACCAACACAAGTGGGGTGCTGAGCACTCGTCTCACTCGTCCTTGCTTGTTGTTGATGTTGGCTTGCTGCCAGCAAAAAACAAACAAACAGCAATGCTGATAATTGGTGGAAATCATTTGCAGTTATCGCACCGTTCGCCAAGAAGGTGGGTGAGACATCGCCAACAGTGTTGCTTGCTTGCTTGTTGTTTTGCTTGTTGTGGCGTGGTGTTGTGTGTTGTTGTGTTGTTTGTTGGTGTTGATTGGAGGGTGAGTCTGCCGTCTCCTACCATGTGAGGTGATCTGCTACATACACGCGCGCGTGTGCGGTGGTGTGTGCAAAGATGCAAGCTACGAGCTGGTGTCTCTGCGGAACATGCCATCATCATGGAAGCCTACCCATCTCATTGCTTTCTTGGTCTTGTCTGTCGTGTCGGTCGTTTGGTTGTTTGGCGTGTGCAGTCGTTTGTTTGTGCAATCGCTTACCAAAGCCGGAACTACACGCAACAAAAAACAAACGACAAAGGACGGCAACCCCTACCCGGTCTTGTATTCGTCCGTTGGCCTGACCACCAAGGTACATAATCGGCGTGCGTTGATGATGTTGGTGGGTGGTGAAATTTTTGCTTCTTGTGTTGTTTAGTCTTTGTTTGCGTGGTATATGCATTAGTTTGTCAATGCTGCAGACGCCGATGTTCACACACACACACACACACACACACACACACACGCCCGTATCGCATACTTTATTGTAACGTACACATGATTGCTCTCCCACGCACACACACACACACACACATCCACTCACACACACACACACACACACACACACGCACATCCACTCACACACACACACACACACACACACTCACACACACACACACACACACTCACACACTCACACACTCACACACACACACACACACACACACTCACACACACACACACGCGCGCGCGCAATTACGTTCCCACCCACGCACACACCAACTTCATGCCATTGCTTTTGACTTCAGACATGGCTGGTCAGCATCGCATGCTGCTGCTGTTGGCACTCGTGTGCGCCGCTTGTCTCGCAAGCACCCAAGCCCAGTCCGGTACGTGCTGTTGCAAGACATTGGTTCACCTTCCAACACCAGTCACCGCTCCAAGTTGTCACCCGTGTCCACCTTCTTTCCTTCACTCACCCCCCCCCCCCTTTCTCTCATCTCTGCGCCCCTTGCAGATTGCGCTGGCTTGGGCGAGAACGACTGTCAACCACCATGCGTATTCAGCAACTCCACAGGCCAATGCCACAAAGCCGGTACGGCCGCTTACATTTGAGATTGCCACAAGCAAAGCAAGGGCGTGGAGAGAAATTGAGAGCAAGGCGGTGGTTGCTTGCGCATGCAGTACACATACAGAAACACACACACACACACACAAACGCAAATGAAAAACGTTTGGTGTTCAAGTTTCCATTCAACCACTTAATTATCTTGTTGCTCACACCGCCACCTGCGGCTGTGTCTTCATGATGATAGGTTGTGCATACACACCATTTGTGGACTGTGACGCGCCCTGCACCCCAAATCCAAACACGTTGGCTTGCCACGTCAGCTCAGGTGTGTTCTTGCACGGCACACAATGCTCACATTTCTGCATACTGCCTCCTGCCACATCGCACCCCAAATCAACCCTTTACACCTGCTTTCACATCTACTTCCACACGACTTGCCCATACTGCCTCCGTGTTTCTCAACTTGTTCACACACACACACACACCTACACACACACACACACACACACACACACACACACACACACACACACACACACACACACACATTCACATTCACACAAATACTCACCCCCCTCCCCCGCATTCACACAAATACTTGTGTAGACACTGGTGGCGCCTGTGCCGAGTATGACTTTGAAAACTGCCCCGCGCGCTGCCTGAAGCTCTCCGTGGACAACTCGTGCTCTGAAATCACGTGTGACACATACGACATCGAGGAAGCGGTAATATGCGCACACATGCACTTTGAACTTCGTTTTCACGTCCCGCCTCTCATCCTTCTGCACTCCTCCCCCAGATCGTGTTTGTGGATGTGAATTGTTTGTTTGTTTGTTTGTTTGTTTGTTTGTTTGTTTGTTTGTTTGTTTGTTTGTCTTCCACCTCACAATCCGTAACTCCCTTCCCCCTCTCCAAAACCCTTGCCCCACCACCATCACCATCACCACCACTGTAGTGTCTGAACGACAACGACGACCTCGACTGCACGTACGATGCGGACATCAGCCGCTGCCGCGGCACCAATGAAACAGTGCAGTGCACGGAGTACTCTCCCGACAACTGCCCCGCAGACCGCTGTGACGCCTTCGATGGCACATTCTGTGTCGAGAAAGGTGTGTATGTGTGTGTGTGTGCGATGTGTCTTGTGTGCTCTTCGAGGTGTATGTGTGTGTGCTAGTTGTGTTAGTTGTATGTTGTTTGGCTTCCGTTGTATGTTCAAGTGCATTCGTGAGTTGGAATGATGTCGTTTCGAATCATGCAATGGCGGTGGCACACCGCCACTCACACCACACGCCATCTGAACACACTCTTTCTTTTCTGCGTATGTGCGTGTAAACGTTCTAGGCACCTATCCCTCGTGTGCGTTCTATTCCATGGAGGACAACTGCAACAGCAAGAGCTGGTGCACGTGGTCCCCTCTCTACGGCGCATGCGGAACTAAAGGTGCCATGCGTGTGGTCCAAAGCCACATGAAAATGTTTGCGCATGCCTGCTTTGTGTGTATGTGTGTCTGTATTTCTGTGTCTGTGCGTGTTTCTGTGCCTCTGTCTGTGTTGGTCTGTGTGTATGTGTTCGTGAACGCGTCCCTTGTGCTGTCTGGCGATTTGCAACTGCCATGTTATCACCCCATCCCTTTCCAATGTCCCACCGCCCCACACAACATGCAACCTGCACCACCACCATCCACTCTGCCTCTCATCCTCCTCTCTTGCCAAACACAACAACATCGCTTCCAGCGGGCGAGTTCGAGTGCGGGCAGCTCCTTGACTTTTTGTCGTGTGTGGACCAAGACCAGTGCTGCTTCGACAGCGGCCTCTGCGTGGACCTTCAGGATGGACAGTCCTGCACCAGGACACGAGGTGACACCGCAACGCCTTGATGTCGTGTCGTGCTGTTTGAGCATTGCTGTGCGGTGTGTATAAGCCCCTGCAAGTGAGAGGCTGTCCGTTCTTCCCTCGTGTTTGTATGTGTGTGTATGTGTGTTTGTATGTGTTTGTATGTGTGTGTGTGTGTGTTTGGCTGTGTGTGTTGCGGCTTCACACCATGTGCTCACCACCTGGAAATCATCACCACCTCGTCTGCTGCTTCCCATTGCACCTCATGACTGCCCGCCGCCCAAGACGCCTGCTCCTCCTTCTCCCTCGGCGACTGCCCTTCGTACGTCTCCCGCTCGCGCTCTCGCATGCTGGCCTGGCTCGTACTCGCTTGTGACTGATGCACTGCTTCTCCTCTCCGTTGTTCGCGTGCATGCCCTCATCACTCACCGTCTCTACCCCTCCTCGCACCCCCATCACCGCACCGCACCGCACCACACTGCATGCAATGAACCACAACCAACCAGGTCGTACTGCCTGCCGAACGAGGACGCGGGCGAGTGTGAGGACCCGCCGTGTCTGGCCATCCGCACCAACCGCACGTGCTCCACACGCAACGAGTGCATCTTCCTGCCAGAGGGCTGCAGGGCTGACGGTGTGTAAACGAAAAACACCCAGACAAACAGACAGACAGAGGGTGGGCAGTGGGCTCACACCCAAGCCAACTAGTGCCTGATATCGCGTGCATGTGCACACACACACACACGCACACACACACGCACGCACACGCACACACACACACGCACGCACACACACGCACGCACGCACGCACGCACGCACGCACGCACACATGCTCACACATGCGCCTGCTCACATGCAATGTCCATAACACAATACACACACAATACACGTCGCCGACGTTGCGTGCGTCCTCGTCTTCCGTTGCTTGCTGCAGGCGAGCCCCCGTGCGACCAGTACACATCCCAGGGCACCTGTCCCTGGAAGTGCACGTGGGACTTTGGCTCGGATTCCTGCATGGCGCGCGCTTGCACAGACGTCTTTGACGTGCGTGGTCCTCTTCCCATCTGCTCGCCCCGCATGAACTGGAACAACCGAGCGCTTCCACGCGACAATTCAATGACCTTCCTCGCTCTTGCCGTCTTTGCCGTTTCTGTTTGCTCCGCCCGCTCGCTCACATTTGCATGTGTGTGCTGTGCGTGTTGTGTGTGTGTATTGTGTGTGCGCAGGAGGGGACGTGCCTTGCGCTTGGCGGGTGCGCGTACGACTTTGGCCGCTGCCACGATGAAGGCACCGCCGTCTCGTCATCAACCCAGATTGCCACCACCCAATGTGCGTTTATTACCTGCTCTGGTCCCCAACACGTTCGCTGCTATGTTTATCCTGTTGAAGTCGCCACGGTGTTTTCTGTCCGCGCCACTGTATACGCGTGTGTACCCGCACTCGTACACACACTCACACACGTGCACACACTCACGTGTTCACACACACACACACACACACATGCACACATACACACACACACGCACACACACGCACACGTGTTCACACACGCACACATACACACATGCACACACTCTCGTGTTCACACACGCACACATACACACATACACACGCACACACGCACACACACACACACACACGTATTCACACAAACTAACATCAACGACAATTCCCCTCCCCCATCCCCACGACCCTACAGCGTTTGACATTGACTGCAGCCAGTTTGCCAACATGACGACGTGCCGGTATCCGTGCTTCTGGAGCGAAACCGACGCCCTCTGCCGCAACCGCACATGTACGCAGATCTTCGACGAGACAGCGTGCGAGGCCAATGCGGCGTGCGAATGGACCGTCAACGACTTCTTCCCCTGCACTCCCGTCGACACCGGTCTGGCCTGCACGGAGTACAGCCGCGACCTGTGCCCCATCACCCGCTGCACCCTGGGCGCCGACGACGGCAGTGGCCCAGCATGCCGGGACAAGGTGCGCGCTGCTGATGTGCTGCTGTGGTTGTTACTCAAGTGCCCTACACCACAGCCCAATTGTACCCACACATTGCATGCGCGACCGCACCGCCCGTCGACACAACACACATGTGAACCAATGTCATCCCCACCCATCACACGCACCTGTTTTTTGGTTCTGTGTCTCTTGTTCTTTTTCGGTAAGCTCACACCTCCTCAAACGCCCCGTGCGCTGATCTTTGTCTGCATAGACGTGCGCTGAACTGAACGCCAACGAGTGCACCAACTCCACGGCGCTCGCCTGCCAGTACGACGAGTCGTATCGCATCTGCTACCCTGAAGGTCCGGCGTCTTTGCCCACGCGCGTGTGCTCGCATCATGTTTGCTCCTCCCAGCCACCACAGCTGTGTGTGCTTGTGTGTGTGTGAATGTGTGCGCGTGCTTGTGTCTGTATGTGTGTGTGTGTGCGCGCATGCGCGTGTGTGCTACTCGCCCAAACACCAACACGTTGCGTGCACTTGCATGTCACACCAACCACCACCTGCCCGCGTCTACGCCATCGCCACGCTGCCTCTTGCATTTCTGTCTGCAGGCGAGGAGCTGCCGTGCGGCATCTTCAACGAGAACGACTGCCCCGCCCGCTGCAACTACTCCGTTGGCGCGCAGTCGTGCTACCAGCCAGGTACGCGCACACAACACACGAGCACATGAAGCTGGGGTGCTTCAGGCACATCTCACATCTGTACTTGAGCATATTTAGCGTGGCTCCATTGCGTACAGTCTCGCTTGTATTTGTCTGACTCAGCCCTTCCAACTCCGCCCTTCTCCCCTGCCCCCCCCACACGCACGCACACGCACACACACACACACACACACACACACTCTCTCTCTCTCTCTCTCTCTCTCTCTCTCTCTCTCTCTCTCTCTCTCTCTCTCTCTGCCATATGTCCGCAGGCACCGTGCTGCCGTGCTCGCGGTTCAACAAGCAGCAGTTCTGCGAGCAGCAGGACGAGTGCACCTTCTATTCCATTGTCGGACTCTGCGTCAACGATACACGTCAGTGCACCGCCATCCACACGACAGCATATGACAGCATCTGCCATGTACCCCCCCCCCACACACACACACACATACACACACATACACACACACACAACACACGCGACACGTGTGCTTCGTTCTCGTCTCTGCTCATCATTCTCACGCCTGCTTGTGTGTCTGCCCGCGGTTCTGTTGATGCTATTGCTCCCCTCCCCCATTCAGAGCCCGACTACCAGTGCAACCTCATCTACAACGACCAGTTCTGCCGCGACAGCCCCATCTGCACATATGGCGCCGACGGCTGCCAGAAGTGCACCGCAAATAACACCGCAGACTGCATCCAGCCATGCCCAGGTTCGTGATTTTGTGTGTGTGTGTGTGTGTGTGTGTGTGTGTGTGTGTGTGTGTGTGTGTGCGTGTGTGTGTGTGTGTGCGTGCGTGCGCGTGTGTGCGTGCGTGTGTGCGTGCGTGTTTCTGTCCACATTGTGTGTGCGCTGCATACGCCTTTGGGAGTCATGTTATACTCCAAACCCAAGCATGCATCACACCACATTACTCTAACATATTCGCACGTACTTTCACACACACTTGCCTCCAATCGACCCACCCCTCTGGTGTTCAACACTGACCACCACACGGCAGACGTGTCCCTGCCGGACTGTTCCCAGCTGACGCAGGCCAGCTGCTTCTCAGAGCCGTCATGCGTGTACAACTTTGAGCTTGTGCAGTGCACGCGCGCCGTCTGCACAGACGTACGCACGCACACACACACACACACATACACTGTCTGTTTGTCGCGGTGCCATGTGGCTTTGATCATTCCCTGCTTTCCCCGCATGTCGCTGTCCTTTGTCATCTTCATCGCATGCGTCTCACCCATTGTCTCGCCCATTTCAGGTGTTGTCATATGACAAGTGTCTCTGTGAATCCCTCACCAACTGCACCTACGATGGCAAACGGTGCAAATACTTTGGTGAGTGCAAGCCGTGGAAGACATTCCGCTTGATGTACCCGTGCGTGTTGTCGTCGATGTGTGGACTCGAACCAAACCAGCATGCCGCTCTTCCATGACCACATCACCCCCACATTACGCATTCATCCATCCTCACATCACGCATCCATCCATCCCTCACCACCACTGATGATCATTGTTCTCGCCTCGCCCCCCCCCCCTCCCACTTGGATGTCAGACGACGGGCGCCCCTGCGAGGAGAAGACGACGGCGCTGGAGTGTGGTGGCGCCGATCCACGCTGCTTCTCCGACTACAACGACGAAACAGGTACTGCTGTGCATTTAAACTGTCAAACACACACACATACAGACATGCAGACAGACACATATATGCAGACCTACAGACAGACACATTCATTCAGACAGACAGACACACACGTACACACACACACAAACACAGACGCACACACAAACACACAAACACACAAACACACACACACACGGCCAGCCAACCAGTGTTGCCATCACAGTTACACTCACACGACCATCCCTGCTCCTACCTGTTCCTGTGACCTGTTTTCTCTCCAATCGCTCCAGGCATCTTTGAGTGCCGCAACGCCACGTGCGCCGACCAATATGGCCAGACCGCCTGCGAGGGATTCGAAGGTCAGTCATGCCATGTTCTTTTCGTGTGTGTCATTGCCGTGTGTTGTACCTTGTCACCGTCGTCAACACGCGCGCGCACACGCACTCTCATGCGCACACGCACTCATTCGCACCCCCCCCCCCCACACACGCATCTACTCTCGCGCGCGCGGCCTGCAGGCGCCGAGTGCGAGTGGCTGTCGTACTACGGGCTGTGCAATGATGCTGGCGCTAAGGTGCCGTGCACGCGCATCTACGAGAAGTACGCATGTGGAAACAGCACTGAGTGTACGTACTACAGCGACATCAACCTGTGCTACTACAAGGACGAGGAGGTGCCCTGCGAGAAGTACCGCACCGCCACCAGCTGCCCCAGCGACCGCTGCTCGTTCTACCCGACCATCCCGCTGTGCGCACCACAGGGCCAGCAGGTGCCCTGCAGCGCCTACGACTCGGAGCTCGCCTGCCTCTCCAATGACGCGTGCCGGTATGTGCCGGGCGCATACGCGTGCGTTGCCGCGGATGAGCCCTCGCCGTGCACCCGCATCTCAAACGCGGTGGCGTGCGGCGATACCGTCGGCTGCAAGCACGATGGCGCCAAGTGCGTTGCGTGCAAAGACGACGAAGCTTGTAACGGGACGAGTGGACTTCAGGTCAGTTGGCGCTGTCTCTTTTGGTGTTCCCAAGGCGCCATCTGTGCTCAACTTTATGGCACGTGTGCCACAAAGCTCACTCACTGTTTCGTGGTGCCACCAATTCTTTGGTTGTGATGTCTTCCTTGTCTCGTCTCTGGTGTTTCGTTACCTTGACTCTGGCTTTCCGTTGCATTGCCTCTCACACCGTGCCCCTCGCGATTCCAACAGCCGTGCGAGGAGGCCGAGGTGTGCAATGCCCAGTACTGCTTTCCAACCGACAACAGCTGCATCTCCCTCTCGGTGCGTGTCTTCAGCCAACCTCACACCCCGAATCTATGTGTTGCTTTGGCCTTGCTTTTTTGTTTTGTTTGTGTCGTGATGTGATGTGATGTGACATGACTGCACCTGTTATTTTTTTTCCTGCGAATCACACGTGCCTTGCTGTGCTTACGACCATGTGCTGCCGGTATACATGTGTGTGTGTGTGTGTGTGTGTGTGTGTGTGTGTGGTTGTGTGTGCATGTGTGTGTGTGTGTGTGTGGTTGTGTGTGCATGTGTGTGTGCGCGTGACAGTGCGATCGCATCTTCTCGCGGTTCTACTGCTCCGCCCTGGACGGGTGCCGCTACGATCCGTACACATACCGCTGCGTGGAGGTGCGCTCTCTTTCTCCATCATGTGTGCGCGCGCGTGACCTGATGAGTTTTCATCGCCGCCGCGTGCTTTCCTTGTCACAGTTGCACATGCTCACGTCGCCATCGCCACCGTCGCCACCATTGCTGCCGTTTACATGTTTGTACATGCAGGAGTCGTCCATCACGGACTGTGAGGATCTGCCAAACGAAAGCATCTGTACACTGGTGCGTATGCACCTGCCAACCAACACCACGGCCATGCATCACAGCCATGCATTCGTTTCTTGACACATCCCGTGGTTTACCCGTCCGCTGCTGTTGTTGCCACCGTTGTCGCTTGTTTCGGTTGGTCCACTGCAGGCAAACACACGGGACAATCGCACATCGGCCTGTGTCTGGGACGCAGACTATGGCGTCTGTTTCACAGAAGGCAACCCACTTCCATGCAAGGCATTCAAGAATGAGGTTCGAAACGCTTCGTGTGCGTGCGTGCGTGCGTGTGCGTGATTGCGCGTTCGTGCGTGATTGTATACATGCGCATGCGTGATTGCGTTGTGCGTGCGTGCACCACACCTGTGCACACCACACCTGCGCGCATTCCCTGTTGCACTCAGCGACGTTGTGCTCATGACTGCTCTTCCCCCTCCTCCCCCAAACAAAACACACATGCATGTTCCCGCGTGTCAAGACGGCATGCAACCTGCTGCCGTACTGTGAGTTCAACGTCGTGTGCCAGGACTACGTGACCACGACCACCACGACCACTACTACCACCACCGCCTACATCAACGCCTGCGACCGCCGCCCCTGCGCTACGAGTATGTGACACCTCATGCCACTGTTCACATCCTCCTGTACCCATGCCCTGCTTACGCGTTTGCGTGTGTATGTGTGTGTGTGCGTTTCTCATCTGGTGTCGCCGTTACACTCACTGTCATCGTTGTGTCGTGATTTGCAGATGTTGAGTGCACGCCGCTTGAGGAGTCCAACACGTACGAGTGCGGCGATTGCCCGTTGGGATATGAGGGCGATGGACGCACTTGCACACGTGAGTACAAGTGCATCTCCACTTCCACACCCTTTTTTTTTTTTACGTGCTTAAGCAACCGTATTCATTGGCTCAACCTTCCCCAATTTATTTGCCACCACTGTACCCCCCCCCCCTCTTTCGTACTTCTCACACGCTCATGCACCCAACACACACACACACACAGTTGTGACGTGCCCCTCGCAGCTGTCGCTTGGCGTCGGTGCAGAGTATGCGTTCGCCGACAAATGCTTCTTCACTAACTACGGTACGATGAGGATAATGGCCATTTAGAACAGTTATTCATGCCGTGTGTATTGTCCAAGTACCTGTGTTGTGTTGCTCCTTACAATGCAATCGTGTACGTTGGTGCCTGCTCTTGTTCTCCAGGCGACGACTGCAATGCGCGCTGCGACTCAAACTACGAGCAGATTGGGGATGGCGTGTTCATCTGCAGCGCCAACGGGACTTGGATAGGCAACCTCACCTGCAATGGTGTGTGTGTGTGTGTGTTTGTCGCTCTCCGACAGAGCTTTCATCATTTGTGATTGCTGAATAGATCAGCTATGATTTTGTTTTATTGCCCTCTTTGCTCCTCACCACATCCACGTCACATCCACACTCCACTGCATCCACGCCACATCCACAGAGATTGACCGGTGCATGGACGACCCACCGCCGTGCGATCCGCTCACGACGTGCACCAAGGTTGCCTCCAACTCGTTCACCTGCACCTCCTGCCCCACGGGCTACAGGAACGTCGCCTTCCGCCCAAAGACAAAGTGCATGAACATCAACGAGTGCGAGGAGCAGCACCCGTGCCACCCGCGCCGCAACTGCACAGACACAATGGGCAGCTTTGAGTGCGGCAAGTGCGAGCCCGGTTGGCGCGAAGTGAACGACCGCGAGTGCGAAGACATCAGGGAGTGCACGGAGCTTGAGCCGTGCTACCCGGGGGTCAAGTGCACGGAGACCGACGGCAGCTTCGCGTGCGGCAAGTGCCCCACGGGATACACGGGCACGGGCGTGGGGCCAGACGGGTGCGAGATTGTCCGCTGCCCCTTGGATGACGTGCCGTCGTATGAGAACGCGGACGTCGACTGCGCGGGTAACGTGTTTGACAGCACGTGCACTGCCACGTGCAAGGAGGGCTACTCGAACAGCGAGGCCACCATCCAATGCAAGGCGGACGGGCAGTGGACCACGCCCTCGCTCACGTGCTCCAAGCTGCCGTGTGCCAACCAACCAGACGCGTCGTTGCTGCCCATTGGCGTCGTCAACCCGCAGTGTGCCGGCCGCCATCAGTGCACGCTCGAATGCAAGGCCGGGTACCGCGGCGAAGGAAACCCCTCCCTCACCTGTCCGACCACCGCGTGGGTGGGCGACACGGAGAACCCGTTCACGTGCGTCCCCTGCGACGCGGGCTCCACGTACCAGAACACGCCCGGCTCAACCACGTGCCTGCCGGTGTCGCCGCCGTGTGGGGAGGGCGAGTACGAGTCTGCGGCCCCAACGACGTCCACAAACCGCCGCTGCCGCGCTGTGAAGGACACGTGCAGGGAAGACTTTGAGTACTCGACGCAGGACCCGACACCAACGTCCGACCGCGTGTGCAGCACGTGCACGGCGTGTCCCGTTGGCCAGTACCGCAGCGGGGGCTGTGATGGGCTCTTTGATGCACAGTGCGCGGCCTGCTCCACCTGCGGCGGCTTCTCGTACGAGCTGCTGGCGTGCACACAGCTGGCCGACACCACGTGCGCCACGTGCCCATTCGGCACCTTCTACTCCCGGGCCAGCAGCAGGTGCCAGGACCAACCCTACTGCTTCGTCGGCCAGATTGAGGCCGTGTCGCCAACGCCCCTGCGCAAGCGCAATTGCACGCGTGTTCGCATCGACACACCGCCACCGCCCGGCACCGTTGCGCGCGTGTACACCATCACGCTGACAGGCATCGACGGCACGCTGCCGCTCGATGTGGGCGTGCTGCTTGTGGAGTCTGTGCGCCGCGTGTTTGTGTGGGCGGACGTGGACGTGCGCGTGGGCATCCTGAGCGTTAACGTCGGCACCAACGCCCGCCGCCGCCGGTCGCTCGAGTCGGAGGTGGTAGTTCGCGTGGAGGCGAGCGAGGACGATGCGTCTGCGGTGGACGGGACGGACGTGTCTGCACAGTCGTTGCGTGCAGCCATCAGCGCCGTCGCCAGCGATACGCAGGGGGACTCGAGCGTGTCGCGTGCGCTTCGTGAGGCCGCAGCTGCCCTGCTGGAGTTGGAGCCGGAGAGCGTGGGGGCGAGCAACGTGCAGCCGTCGTCTACTGCTGGGACAACCAACCAGCAGTCGACAACAAACAGCGCCGCCACCACCGATCCGCAGTCGAGCCAGAGCGGGTCAGTCAGTGCACATGTTGGCTTTGTCTGTTTTGTAATGTGTGTGTGTGTATGTTTGTGTTGTGTGTATGTTTGTGTTGTGTGTATGTTTGTGTTGTGCGTGTATTTGTGTTGTGTGTATGTTTGTGTTGTGCGTGTATTTGTGTTGTGTGTATATTTGTGTTTTGTGGGTTGTATGCGTGCGTGCGGGAGTGCCAGGTGTGTTTATTGCGTGTTGCTCACCAAGACACTATTGTTGTTGCTGTTCTTCGTCGCCAATGTTTTTCGTCCATGCAGTGGCACTGACAACACGACGCTGTACATCATCATTGGGTCTGTTGGGGGCGTTGTGCTTCTTGTCGTCGTGATTGCGGTCGTGGTGACGTGTCGCACGAGTGGACGGTCAAAGGGAGCTTCCATCTCTGGTGCCGGTGGCGCCGTCGCCTCCCCTTACCAGGAGAACAACTACTCAAAGTGCGTTTTGTTTGTTTGTTTGTGTGTTTGTTTGTTTGTTGGTTTGTTGGCTGGTTGGTTGGTTTGTTTGTGTGTTTGTTTGTTGGTTGGTTTGTTGGTTGGTTTGTTGGCTGGTTTGTTTGTTTGTTTGTTTGTTTGTTTGTTTGTTTGTTTGTTTGTTTGTTTGTTGGCTGGTTTGTTTGTTTGTTTGTTTGTGTGAATGTTCGTGTGTATGTCGTCGCATGTGTTCCAGCTTTGCGGTTGCCATGAATGGCGCTTGTTATGCTTTCATTGATGCGCATGTAGTCTTCCTCCTCGCCCTGCTCCCTACTCACTCACCAACAATCACACCCCACAACCAATCCAAACTCCAAACACACGTGTTGTAGTGTGCATGAGTTGATGGCGATGAAGACGCTGGAGACGACAGCGCGGGCGCCGGTGGCCACACGCGCAACGCGGCAGGGATCCTTCTACAGCTCCATCACCCAGGCTGCATCGGAGATCTGATGTGCACCTGCCATCACCACAACATGCTTTGTGTTTCACCCCAAACGCACTCTGCAATCACACACGCACACGTACACGCACATGACTCCTTCTGTTCCCCACATGAACCAAACTGCCAAAACAACGACCAAACCACACAACCAGCCCCTCTCTTACTGACCATGCCCCCGTTCTGTGTCTGCACACCTGCGTTGCGCCCAATGTCGCCACCGCAATTGCCCCAATGGCAACAACACCTTCTGTACTTGGCCGCGACGGGTTCATCATTTCTCTTCTCCTTTTCTGTTCATTTTTCAGTTAGTCAAGTCATACTTCACCAACCCAAATAATGACTTGCATGCACACACGAGCGAAGGCCAAGAAAACCAAGCAGCACGACGTGGCAGTGGCTGAAGAGGGGCGGTGGTAGTGGTTGGGTGGAGAGGGGGGGGGGGAGGCAACATTGATTGAATAACAGGAGTTGGTGGGGCGAGCAGAAATTGAAAGAACAATCGAGCACAAGAGCAAGAGTTATGTGTGCCTGTGTGTGTGTGGTGGGGGGGGGGGGGGGAGGGGAGTTTCTGGGTGGGTTTATGGAGTTACTTGACACCTCGAACACGACGGACAAATAGGGCGGAGAGAAGAAAGTAGGCTGCGGTGATGGAGAAGAGAACAATGTATGCAGCAGGGCAGTGCGCCTTCTTGCAGTGGTTTGGCGATGTGCTGGGCCCGGAGCACGCGACGCGCGTGATGCCATCACGAATGGCACCGCCTGCAGGATGATGTAAACGTGACACGGTGTCCGTGTGTGTGAGTAAGTGTGTGAATGTGGGTGTGTGCGTGAGAGAGAGAGAGAGAGAGAGAGAGAGAGAGAGAGAGAGAGAGAGAGTGTGTGTGTGTGTGTGTGTGTGTGTGTGTGTGTGTGAGTGAGTGAGTGAGTGAGTGAGTGAGTGAGTGAGTGAGTGAGTGAGAGTGTGTGTGTATGAGTGAGTGAGCGAGAGAGAGAGATAGAGAGATAGAGAGAGTGAGAGTGAGAGTGAGAGAGAGAGAGTGTGTGTGTCAATCGTGTGTTCGAAAGAGCAGTGTGCCGTATTGGCGGCAAAAGCAGCAGCCGTTTGCAAATTGCCCTCACCAATTGGGGTGGCGATGAGTTGTGGCAGGACAAGAGCCTGGTGCCAGATGGCGAGATCCTTGGCCCTGTCCCGTTCGTTTGGCAGCACGTCAAGCACCAGCGCAAAGTCGACAGACGTGAAGCAGCCGTACCCCGCGCCAAACACGCCCGCAACCGCCAGGCACGCGTAGAAGCTGCGCACGAAGACGAGGACAATTGTGGACACGCTCATGATGAGCGCAGCGCCAATCACAAACCGCTTTCGCTTTCCCCCGCTCCTGTCACTGGCCTGTTGTCGTGTCGGGGTGGTATCAACAGGTGTGTGTATGTGTGCGTGAGCAGTTAGGTGTGTGTGTGTGTTTGTAAGAACTGGAACACACTACATTGTAGCTTGAAGATGTGGACAGCCGCATGAACACACAAGCACGCACACACGCAACCAAATCACAACATACACACACGCACAGAAGAACCACATGCAGCAACACTTGGATCCCGCCCCGCCCCACGCCACCGCATCGCACCATGCCGGAGAGGACGGAGGAAACGCCGGCGCAGATGAAGAGCGGCACGAGCGCATACGCGACGGCCTCCTCCGATCGCAGATCGCCGGGCAGATCAACCTGGTCGTGGAAGTACAACTCAAGAAAGAACAGCACCGTCGCCAGCCCTGCATGCCACAGGACGGATGTGGGGAGAAGGGGGAAAACGTTGAAGCGTGTGGGTGGGAAAGTCAGGGTCTGCAGCCGTGCATATACAAGCACATGCAGCGGTACACACATTCACACATTCACACACCTTGCTGCATGAGGAAGCGGGTGAAGAAGACCCAGCGAAAGTCGTGGTGCTTGAGGGGCTCGACATATGTGAGAACAAAGTTTGAGCACCCGGACCGCTTCGCTGTTCCGCTCTTACGCCACTGCTGCGACTTTGGCGGCGGGTCCTCAGGCTGTGAGGGAGGTGGGCGAGGGGAGTGAGTGAGTGAGTGAGTGAGTGAGTGAGTGAGTGAGTGAGTGAGTGTGTGTGTGTGTGTGTGTGTGTGTGTGTGTGTGTGTGTGTGTGTGTGTGTGTGTGTGTGTGTGTGTGTAAACGAGGGAGTGCTGGAGAAATTACGCTGATTGTAACAAACACAGGTGCTGGGTGGCTGGTTGCAGTGCTGTCTGTACAATCTTTGCAGTATACCTGGCTAAACACAACGACGAGCACGCTGGCGGTGACGAGAATGGAGAGGATGATGTAGATGTGAAGAATTGTCAGGCTCGACGCAAACAAGAAGCCAACACTGGCACCTGTAGATTGACAAGGCAACATCAAAAAGGGCATAATGAGTCCTGCGCAGCACAGCGAGCATGGTCACGAAGTCCAAGCGTATCAAGCACACAGCACACAACACAGGCGTGCATGCATATTCGCAAACCCGCATACCCACATGACTACAAGTACGCACGCATGCACACATGGCGACAAGCACCCAAACTAATACACACACACACACACACACACACACACACACACACACACACACACACACACACACACACACACAACACACCAAGCAGGTTGCCGGTGACGGTGAGGATGCCGTTCATGCCGGATCCAAACCCGCGCTGGGCTGGTGGTGTATGGTCGGCGATCAACCCCGTATATGGCGTGCCAATCAACTGCATGTAGTTGATTCAATTCAACAAGCACCACATAAAACCCCCACGAATGCACGTAGCACTGTGAGACATCGTTCATTCCGACATACACAACACAGCACACACACACACACAAAAAAAAAAAACCAGCACACACACACACACACACACAAAGCAGCACACCCACCCACCCACACAAAACACAAAGCAGCACACACACACACACACACACACACACACACAAAACACAGCACACACACAAAGCAGCACACACACACACACGCACACACACATACACAACACATGTACACATTCACTCACAACAACACTCAACCTGGTAGCCGACGGTGGCGAGGCCGTAGACGAGGATGAGCGCCCAGAGGTGGCCGTGAAGTTCCTCCGTGTCCGGGGCAGCCGTGGTGGTGCCGACAATGGAGGTGGCGTTGTTCAGCTCGTCCTCGCACCCAAGGGGTTTTGCAGCGGGCTTGTGTGGGTTGGCGAGGCCGAGGCATATTTGTGCAATCACAAGCCACACCAGGCCAATCAGCATCCAGGGGCGGCGGCGCCCGTAGGACAGGGTGGACCGGTCAGACAACATGCCAATCAGGGGTGTCACGATTAACAACGACCCCACGACGACAATCGCCGCCAAGCCCAGGCCAACACGGTCGTTCCCCACGGTACTGCGCACCTGCGAAGGGAGCATCACCACGCCCCAGGCCACCAGGACACACGCCAGTCCGGTCCAGCCGACATTGAGCAAAATGAGGCTGAGTCTGCTCACTCGCCACAGCGATGTGTCGACTTCGATCCCATCCATTAACCCCGACGATGATGACCCAAGCCCGTCTGTACTGCTCTCTCCACTTAACCCATCATCTGTCAGCCCCAACACGTCGCCATTGTCGCCTTCCTGGATCAGGAACTCGTGCATCGAATGCGCGTCACCGTCGCCGCTCCCCGCACTCATCGTCAGAGGTGTTTGCTGCGTCTGGTGGTGGTTGGTGTTTGTGCGATGTGTGGTTGGTGGTGGTTTTGCCAATTGTGCAAGGGTTTGCTTTGTGCAATTTGCAAAACTGGTGTGAGTTGTCCTCTGCACAACAAAACCCCGCCCCTCAATCGCGCACACCACCAGCACAGCGCACAAGCAAGCAGTCTTCACAAACACACGCACACAGGCATACACCCTAAACACACACACACACACACATACACATACACATACACATACACATACACGCACACACACACACACATACACATACACGCACACACAGAGGCCACTGCACGTTCTTCGCCCAGCCGTCCATCCCCTCATGCTGGTGCAGGTGGTGACAGCCGTGGTTTTGGCCGTGTGCGCCATTTCCACGACGCTCACCTCGGCCGCTGCGCCATGCACACCCGCACCGTGCGTGACCTATGACGCGAGCGGCACGCTCATTGGTGGTGAATCGACGCTCACCATCGAGTGGAACGTCGAAGCAGGCCTTCCAAACATCTTCATTATCCTGGGCAGCTTGGACCAAGACGGCGCCACTTTGCAGCTGTTCCTCTCGGGCGAGGTTGTTCTCAACCATACCCTCGCCAGCCCAGCCACCACTGGCTCTTACAACTGGGATATCCCGTACATCGCAGAGGACAACTTGCAAATCCTGCTGCAGATTGCACCAGACAACACCAGGGCCAGCTCCTTTGTCAGCGGCGACACCTTCTCCACTGAATGTGAGTCGGATCGACGTCAAAGACGTGTGTGAATGTGTGTGTGTGTGCGTGTGTGTGCGTGCGTGGCAGAGTAAAGGTCACGTGTTGCATCTTTCAGTAACGTGCACGCACGTCCGCACAGCATTTGACTTGCCTCTCACCATCCTCGTCCCGGTCTTCCAACTCTCTGCTGCTGGCAGTTCCACCATTCGCCGTTACAAGTCCGCGTGCGTACTCGTTCTTGATCCCTGGCGAAGATGTAACTATCAAATGGCAGGTATGCACCCGGTGGTATCTTCACGCTGTTACATGTCACCAGTGCGGCTCGCCTAGCGCGCTATCTCTCTCTCTCTCTCGTTTCATGCCTGGCATTTGTCTCCTCTCACCCACCACTGACGAAAGCACTCTCTCCTCAAACCTTGAACACGTGTATTCTGATGCCTTGACAGAACTTTGATGGGAATGATGTGAAGATTCAATTGGTGTTTCGCACGTCCGAGGGCGATCTTGCGTACCCCTACTCATTATTTGGGGATGAAAGCACGCCAAATTCTGGATCTGCTACATACACGGTCCCTTCAATCGCCAACGACTATCCTCAACCACTTCTGTACACGCACAACATCTATGTGAAAGAAGTCGACGGCGGAACGGACGACTTCTTCCTCGGACCCCTCTTCGTTCCAGGTGTGTGGATCACGAAGCTTCACGCATGACTTGATGCTATCACTGGCAGCTGCCTCCATGCAAGTGTAGTTAAACTCCTCTTGTTATAATCATCGCCTGACGCTGCTTGCTATTGCGCCTGCAGCCGTCGGATATAGTTTTGCAGGATCGGTCGGCACCACTGGTCGTGCAGTTCAAGGAACCAACATTACCGTGGCCTATACCATCGTCAACTTTGCCGATGAGGAGGTTGCCGTCACTATCAGCAATGCAACGTCGGGCACTATTCGACTGGGTGCACTGCCAAACAATTTCGCATTTAATGACTCTTCACACGTCGCAACACCTTTCTCGGCATCAGCGACAATCATTGTATGTGCACTCCGCAATGCCTTTGCCTTTTGCTCGATTCCCTGCCGCCGCTGTCAACCGCATGTGAGCACCTTAAAGATCCCCGCACCTGTCATTCACACACACACACACACATACCAACACACACCAACACACACCAACACACACACACACACACACACACCAACACACACACACACCAACACACACACACACACACACACACTCACATACCAACACCAGATTGAGCCTGGGGAGCCGCTTGGAACTGTGACGGTTCGGCTGTATGTGGAGCGGATGCCAGCCATCTCGGCGTCGCGCCAGATCACGGTGTTGCCGCCCTGTGAGCCGGGCACCTTCTACAACGACACAGACGTGACGTGCAACGCGTGCCCTCCCGACACGTTCACAGACACCATCAACCAGGACGCATGCCAGCCACACTCGACGTGCCCTGATGGCTGGGTTGTGGCCGCAGCCGGCACCAGCACCGCAGACACCCTGTGCGTCGACCCTGCCATCACCCTGCCCATCAGAATGGCAGCTGCAGCACCACCCGGTCTCCTCTTTGCAGCCTCACCCTCAGACACGACCTCCGTCAGCGACAACACGACAGTCACGTCGCGCTCGCTGCTCACAGTCGCTGCGCGTGATTCTCCCGTGTCCATCCACTCAGCGCTCGGCAACAAGCAGGCAACAGCCTCCATCACAGGCACCGCCATCACAGCAACTGCACCAACAGCCACGCGCGTACGTGCTGTGCTGCTGGGCGAGCCCGGCCTTTCCCACAGCCGCCAGCCATCGCAGCCCGCAGTCGTGCTGCCCGACGAGACGGCGGTGAAGGTGCTGCTGTTTGCACTCGATGGCCGCGGCCTCGCCATGCAAGATGCAGAGTGCCACGTGCGCATTCAGGACAACGCACAGCAGCTAACGGCCGTCACAGCCGTGTGCACCACGTCCTCATCGTCACCCACGCCGTCGTGCACAGCAACGCTGGCGCTGCCTTCCTCCTACTTCACGGCCGTGCACCAGCTCACGCTGACCGCCGGTCCAAACGCAACAGCAGCAGCAGAAGAAACAGCAGACGTAGCAGCCACGTTGCAGACAGCACAGCGCGTGGCGCGACCCGAACCCCTCACTGGTGATGTGTTGGCCGTGTTCCCACAGCGACCACTGCCACGATCCAAGACCTTCACGCTCACCGTCTCTGCACATGGCGGTGCACGACCACTCAGCTCGTGGCAGCTGCGTGTCACATCTCCAGACGCCAACACTCTGCAGGTCCAGTCCGTCACGGGCGGCAGTGGATGGACGGTGACTGCATCGTCGCTGCCCTCGCGTGATGTTGCTGTGCTTGGCGTTCGCGCCATCGAGCAGGGTGGTGGCGGTGGTGCTGGTGCTGAGGAGAGTGTGCTGTTCACGGCAGATGTGCTGGTCGGTGCAATGGCTGCGCGCGACGTCGTGTTGAACGTCAGTGTTGTGGAGGCGTTTGATTCGAGCGGACAGCCAGTCCTCTCGGGCACGGCGCCGCTGGTTGTCGCCAGCAGCAACCCCAACCCAACTGCACACCGCACCTCCACTGTCTCGCTGACGACCTATAATGAAGCCGACGTCGTTGCACTCCACGCGTTCCCATCGATGCGCACGGCTGGTGCACCGCCCACAACCGCCCCGCTCTCCAACGTCCTGCTCAACACGGCCGCCCTCAACCCAGACAACGCAGCACTGCAGCACCCGTTGACTGTCAGCGCGTACAGCGCCAGCGGCAGTGGCACCACACTATCACCGTCGACGTCGCTCGTGTGCTCCTCAAGTGCACCAGAGGCGCTGCAAGTTGATGCCAGCTGCGGGTATGTGCACTTCACTGGTGCTGAGACAGCCGGCAGCGACAGTGCACAGGTGGTGGTCCAGCACGCCACGCTGCCTCTCAACACGACGCTCAGATACAAGGTGTGGCACCCAGCCGCATTTCGCATTGCTATCGACGTACAGGGCAGCAGCAGCGGCAGTGACGTGGTGCTGCGGCGTATTGGTGGCACGGCGTTGTACCAGCATGTCGGATACACGATTGAGGCAGACTGGTCATCCGCAACGGCAATGACAAGTGGCGGCGCTGATGATTGGTTGAACAGCACGGATGTGACCGAAGAGGTGTGGCCGTTGCTGCAGGGGCAACACGTGGGCGGTGGCAGTGGTGATGGGAATGTGATTGTCACACCTTTGTCAATCACAACCAACACATCTGGCACGTTCAGGCTGTGCATTTCGCATCCGCTGCGCACACCGTCGTGTCTCGGTGCGCGAGACATTGAAGCGACAGACAGCGAACCAGCAACACCCGTGGCCATTTCCGCCACCGTCGTTGCATCTGTCACTGCTGCGACCACCACATCAAGTGCCGATACCTACACCCGCGTGTCATCATCCTTCACGTCTGTGCTGACAGCAGACCAGCAGAGCGCATCCGTCGTCGTCCACGCCATCTTCAGCGACGGCAGCACCCGAGTCCTCGACCCCGCACTGCACAACACCACCGTCACCACCGGCAGCCCAGCGCTCATTGCTACCAACATTAACGCTGCGAGCAGCAACAGCCACCCCTTCGTGACGACGCTTGGCGGTGGATCTGTTGCCGTGGGCCTCACATGGTACGTGTCTGACACCACGACTGTGCACGGTACCGTGGACGTGGTGAGCGCCCTTCCCGCTGTGACCGGTGTGCGCGTTGCAGGGCTTCCAGCAGCAATGGCGCCGTCCACAGACGTGAGTTCGCAGCTGCCGGCGAACCTGGCATCATCAACCCTGGTTTCGGTCTTCCTGCAGTATGACGATGGCACGGAGATTGACTTTACAACAGACGCGCGCACGAACATCGCGACAGAGGGAAACATCACTGCAACGGTCGATGGCACGCGCTTGCGTGTGGCTGTTGCGGATGGCAGCACGGAAGGGCAGGCGCGGCTGCTGGTGTCGTTTGAGCACACGGGCGTGACGGCGTCATTGGCTGTCGAGGTTGTGGTCGCCACTGGACTGCGGGTTGCGCTCCGGCCCTTCCCGGCCTTTCCTGGATCCGAGGACGAAGAAGTGGCGGAGGTGCGGCGATTGGGCGCGTCCAACACGTGGCAGCAGGCGATGGTCGATGTCAGTGCAGTGTTGTCGTCCGGAGAAGTTGTGTCGGGGAACGACCACGCAGAGCTGATGGTTTCCACGCCCGCATTCTTCAACTACAACAGCAACACGCGCCTCGTCTCACCAACGCCGCAGCTGCCCGGTGACGAAGGGATGGCCGTGGTAGTGGCGACGCTGCGTGACCTCTTCAACACCACCGCCGTCACCGTCTCCTCGCTCGCCTGGGGTGTGGCCAGCATCACACCTGTCCTGCCGGCAACAACGCTCGCTGGAACCGTCAACACCAAGCAGCAGATGCGGGCGAGCGTGGTGATGGAGAACGGGCTCACGCTCACGACCACTTACCTCTTCCCAAACGGCGGCGCGCTCGCCCTGCCCAACCTCATCACGTTCGATATCACCACGCCCACGGCGACAGATGCCGTTGTCATCGACAGCGCAACGGGAACAGCGACGCTGACAGGCAACTCGCGCACACAAGAGACGCTGGCGGTGTATGCGGGAGACAATGCTGACGTGAACGCCACGGCACTCTTCTATGTGAATTTGGTGCCCACAAACTACGATGTGGACTTAGGCGCCACGCAGCAGCTGCCGCTCGCACCCGTGACAGGCGGCGACACCGTTGCGATCTCTGTGCGCGTGCGACTGCCGAGCACCCTGGCGTTTGCCTCCATCTCCCTGCAGGTCACCTTTGATGACGCTGTGCTTGAGTTTGTGGATGTGGCAGAAGGGAGCGACTGGCCTGGCGGCGAGTTTGCAGGCGGATTGGACGGCAGCGGTCGCATCTCGTTTGGTGGATCAACGGCTGGTGTTGGGCCAGGCACCCTGACCCTGTTTGAGGTGACGCTGCGGGTCAAGGGTGGTGCAGGTGCTGGATTCTCGTCCGTCAGCGGCACAGCGGTGACGATTGCCGATGGGGACGGCACGCTGTTGGCGAGCGATGTCCCATTTGTTGCAGGCGACGTCACCCTCGAGATCACCGCACCTGCGCGTCGTCGTCGTAGTCATCAAAGCGCCAGCGCCACCAGCACTACTGTCGCGCGTGCATTCGGGTTCAGCAGCACCACAGCCAGCCGTGCACGTCGCGCGGAGTGTGGCTCGCCGCCTTGCGCTGTGTGCATGGACCAGCGGCAGATTGGTGACGCGGATGGCAACTGCTTGTTTGACGTGCGTGACGTGACTTTTCTGAAACGGTTCCTGAATGAGCGGCTGCTTGATCCAGATGGCGCGTTTGTGTCCGCGGTTCAGGCGTTTCAAATGCCGGACATGGACGCCGACGGCAACACGATCATCAACACCGTCGACGTCAACTTCCTCCTGCGCGCCAACTTTGGTCTGTTTGCACTCGTGCGGAGCGTGAACATGACAGCGCCAGACACGGACCCGTCCCTCGCCGTCAGTGTCGAGCAGACAGAGTGTTCTGTCGCCGTGTACGTGCAGACGATCAGCGGTGGCGACGGCAGGGAGCAGGTGCCCTCCGACCCACAGCGCACGGCCGTGTTTGTGTACCTGGACAGCCCCAACGTTACGCTGCACAACAACGCGCAGCTGGTGGTGACGGATGGCGAGGTGGTGGTCGCTGATGTGGCCACAAACCAGCGTGGCGTGTTCATCAAGGCGGCCCACGACCCAGCACGCGATGCGTTCTTCGTTGCTGCGTCGTCTGAGCTGCCGTCCGACCTCGTGCTCACGGGTGTGCCGCTGCTCATCAGCATTGATGCCGCTGGCGAAACCAACGCCGACCGCGCAACCGCCGCCCTCACGTACAGCGATGCGCCCGTGAGCATTGCCGGCGAGCAGCGGGTGGCGTTCACGTTCCTCGGCCAAGGGTTTGAGCTCGTGCTGAACGACTACGGGCCGAGGGTGTGGGTGTCGACGACAACGGTGAGCCGCAACTGCCGCGAGCAGCTGATGTGCGATGACGAGGCGGGCGAGTACGTGGCTGTAAACGCGACGACAACGGACAACCCGGTGTGCCGCGCGCTCACAACGTGCGTCCTTGGCGACTCTTACGAGACGCGCGCCCCAACGCAGTTCTCTGATCGGGTGTGCGCCAACACGACGGTGTGCACACCGGGGCAGGAGTACATCTCTGTGCTGCCGACGCTCGTGTCGGACCGGCGGTGCAGCAACATCTCGGCCCCGTGCACGAGCACGCAGTTTGAGGCCATGGCGCCAACGAACACGAGCGATCGCGTGTGCACCAACACAACGGTGTGTGACCTGAGCACGCAGTACATTGTGACAGACGCCACGCTCAGCAGCAACCGCGTGTGTGCCAACATCAGCGACGCGTGCGTGTTCCCGCTGCAGTTTGAAATCCAGGCGCCGACCAACACCAGTGACCGTGCGTGCGTGACAACGCTCGTGTGCACGGCGAGCCAATACGAGACCGTTGCGCCTACACCAACCAGCAATCGCGAATGCACTGACTTGCACACGTGCAACCTTGACGAGTATGCGATTGTCCCCCCGACACCAACCACCAACCGCGTGTGTGAGCTGGCGACGGTGTGTGATGACACGGAGTTTGAGTCTGTTGAGCTGACGCCAACCAGTGATCGCCAGTGCATGCTGAACCCCTGTAACGTCTCCACCATCTGTCTTCCCGAAGGATCGTGCATCCCAACGGCCACAGGACCGTACTGTGACTGTCCACCGGGCATCGACTGCGGTGGGTTTGTTGTCATGTGAAATAACCAGGAGGAAGAGGAAGTGTGTGTATGTGATTGTGTGTGTATGTGATATTGTGTGTGTATGTGATTGTGTGTGTGTATGTGATTGTGTGTGTGTGTGTTCATGTGTGCGTGTGATATCTGCTTGCGAGCTCTCTGTCTTGTTTTGTTTCTCTGGTCAATGAGGCAACGTGTGTATCCCAGACATGTGCTGACGCTGGCTCATATTGGCCCACATCTGCATGTGTGTACCACAGGCCCAACCCAGCCGCCCACGACGGATGCCTGTGCTGCTACCGTGTGTAGCGATGAGGGGATGTGTGTGTCCACCTCCTCGGGCGCATTCTGTGTATGCCCGGACAGCGCGCCAAACTGCGGTTCGTATGCGATTGTCGCACCTCACGTTTTCCCCCTCATTCCAAGTGCTCTACCATTCATGCTCATGCAATGCACGCACGGGCGAGTACACACACACACACACACACACACACACACACACATTTACAACACACACACACACACGCACACACCCTTTACGTACCTCGCACACGCACACGCACGCACGCACACACACACGCACACACACACACATTTACATCACACACACACACACTCACGTTGACAACACACACATATACATCGCACATACATATTTTATCAACACACCCTTTATCTCTGCAGGACCAACGACGGCTGCGCCGGACCTGAACCAGAGCTCGGATTCGTCCGTTGACGCGTCGCTGGTAGCCATCGCCACATCCTGCAGCTTTGTTGGCCTGCTGCTCGTGCTCGGGTTGGTGTATGCCAGCCGGTTCATCACGTGTGACCGCCGCAAATCGAAGCAGCCCGCCTCCGTGGGTGGTGTGCAGGTCTTTGAGCAGGAAGGGTTTGAGATGAACCTTGATGACAGCATCAGCGACGGCGATGGCGACAACAGCCGCGCGCGCCTGGACAGGCAGGTCTCTGTCCGCACACGCGAGAGCGTGGAGACGTTCAAGCCGCTGACACTCGGACGCATGGACAGCTTTGAGGAAACGCCATTTGAGGCGCAGGCGACGTTCGAAGGGGGTCCCGAGGATGGCGGGTACAGCGCACTGCCACACCAGCGGCTGACAGCCAACCCAGCATACGAGGAAACCGGCGAGCAAGCCAAGTCAAATTTCTACGAGGACGTGGGTCCTGCCGAGGGCAGCGGCAGCGGCGGCGGCGGTGGATATCAGGAGGTGCCACGCCAGCGGCTGACGGCCAACCCGGCATATGAGACAGTGAAGCAGCGGCCTGTCAGCATGGAGAACCAGTACAGCGACGTTGGGGCCGGCCATTACGACGTGCCGCACGTGAAACCGGCAAAGGAGACGGCGGAGGGGTACGATCTTCCGCGCAAGACGCCGCGGTGGAGCGAGAACCAATATGAGGACATCAGCGCTGCGCCGAGCAGGCAGACGAAGGAAGGCGACTACGACAGGCCGCACCAGCCGAGCGAGGGCCAATATGCGTCCGTGTCGGGCGGTGCTGCGCGCAATGACGGGGACTATGACCGCAAGCCGTACATGCCCAATGCTGTTCTCTACGATGAACTGCCGGGGAAATCACGCCGCAACTCCGTCGTGGCAGACGTCCCCGAAGGTTCTGCTCCAAAGGTTAGTTGGTTTTTGATCGGCTGGTTGATGGTGTGTGTGTGTGTGGGTGTGTGTGTGTGCATGTGTGTGTGTTGGGGGGGGGGAGAGGGTGTGTGTGTGTGTGTGGGGGGGAGGGAGAGGGTGTGTGTGTGTGTGTGGGTGTGGGTGTGTGTGGGTGTGTGTGTGGGTGTGTTGGTGTGTGCCTTTGGCTAGCGTGGTGGCTGCCGTGTGCATCGCATCGTACCCTGACGTAACCCTTTTCGTTGTGCCTGTCGCCACCACAGCGGCGCCGCAGCACGCGTGTGCTGAAACTGTCGGAGGATGTGCTGCGCGATCCGGAGCGCGACGTCTTCTTCGTCAAGGCGACGGCCAAGAACAAACAGTCCTACGGCGGCTCCAAGCGCGTGTACAAGGCAATGCGCTTCCAAGGTGCGACTTCAATGGAGGGTGACTTATTGTGTGTGTGTGTGCGTGTGTGTGTAGTAATTGGCGCACCTTAATGCGCACAACTCTGAACACTTTTGTTCGTGCATACGGGCTTCCATTCACTTGCTGCCATGTTCCGACCATCGACACTCGTGATGCTCTCTCTTGGTCTCTTCAGGTGCTGCCAATGAGGCGTTTGTAATGCCTGAGGATGAAGACGTGGATGGCGACGACGCAGATCAGCAGCAGCGCCCGGCGTACTTTGATCCCAAAGCAACACGTGATGAGAAGCCAGCGTACTTTGATCCCAAAGCCACACGTGACGAGAAGCTAGCGTACTTTGACCCCAAAGCCACACGTGATGAGAAGCCAGCGTACTTTGATCCGGTATCAGCACCACCTAATCCAGACTACGCTTCGCCAAGCGCCGTCACACCCGGTTATGAATACGGCAGCCTGATCCAAGGTGAGCTAGCAGTTCAGTGAAACAGTGTGTGCGTATTTGTATGTGTGTGTTTTTGTGTGCGTGTGTATAGATGTGTGTCTCCATGCGTGTGTCCATGTGTGCGAACGATGTGTGCTGACGACTTCATTCCCCACCACTGGCGCAGGGCCGCCTGGTGCCGAGTATGCGAGCGTGCCGGCGCACGATGAGGGCGAGTACATGGAGCTCTCGCGTGAGGATTTGCTCGCAAACCCAATGTACGCCTCCTTTGCGGACTTGGAGGAGACCACGCACGCAGATGACGCCAACGCAGAGAGCTACCTCACCATTGTTCCCAGCAAGGACGAGTGAATGCCTGCAAGCACGTGCTTCGTGTGTGAGAGATGAGAGAGACAGACAGACAGAAGGAGAGTGCGCCTGAGAATGACACGTGTGTGTGTGTGTGACAGAGAGAAAGAATGTACGTGCGTGTGTGTGTGTGCGCACGCAAAGTGCGTGTTGATTATGGTATGGTATGCGGAGCGAGACCATTGGGAGTGTGTGTGTGTGTGTTGTTTGGGTTTGTGTTGTTTGGGTTTGTGGCGTGCTCTGCTGGTGATGATACACCACGCCATGTTTCATTTTCCTCCTGCCCACGTCTGAATAGAATAACTGCGTTTATGATTGCGCACGCAATGCTGAAGGAAGGGGCAATTGAAATCGAGGAGGGTGTACACATATGTACAGGGACAAGTGCGTGCGCGCATCTGTGGTGATCAGAGCCAGCGAGGTGAAGCTACGAAGAGTTGCAAACCTGAAAAGCACAACATGGCACTGCATGTCACATCACGGCTGTTGAGACTTCTGCTCCTTGAACTCAACCTTCTTCGATGTCCTCTTCTGCCCTTGTGACTGGCGCGACGGCTTATCGTGTTCAGCCTGTTTCGTTGGCGTTGTTGTCTTTTGCTTCTTCGGTTTGAAGAGCGTGCGCAGTCCGAGCGGATCCCGTGGTGAGTCCGTGATCCTATAAACACACACACACAGAGTTGGCGTGATCGAATGCAGCCTTGTGCACGCAAACGTGAACCCTCCTCCCACACACACACACACACACACACACACACACACACACACACACACACACACACACACACACACACACACACACACACACACACACACACACACACACACACACACACACACACACACACACACACACACCAACGCACTCCTTCAAAATGTTGTCCTTGGTGCTGAGTTGTGCGAGCGTGGAGCGAATCTGTTCAAACTGCTCGCGTGCAATATCGTCATCCTCGCTCCACTCCATCGCTTCCCGACACCGCTGCGTCACATCGCTGATGATTGCAGACTCCGCGTTCACAGACCTGGCCCATTGAATGTACGAGAATGTGTATGTGTGTGTGTGTGTGTGTGTGTGTGGGTGTGTGTTTATGTGTGTGTGTGCGTGTGAGGAAAGGAAAGCACGGAGCATGCCAACACGGCGCATGTTGTGATGACACACATCGGTAAACGTCCAAAAGAATGAACAGCTATCCCCAAGCATGGTGCCATCCATCATGACACCAGCGACAATGCAATGACTGACTGACCTCCACAGCACGGCCTTGCGCAGGTCTGCATTCGCACGCATGTCCATGTCGATGATTGTCTGGCACGCCGCCTCCACCAGCGCAGGCTGACCCTCATACTGCACCTGAACAGTGGTCGTGAGGGCGTATATGTGCACGTGAACACCAAAGGAACACATGCACTGTGCGTGTGTGTATGCGTGTGTGTGTGTGTCTGTATGTGTGTCTGTATGTGCGTGTGTGTCTCTGTGTGTGTTTGTGTGGTGCGTAAGACAGTGGATTGCAGTGGTAAACGGTGCTCAGAAAGGGGCGGAGGAACAAGAAAGGTTCAATATCATGCCGTGCAAGTGTAAAGCAAAACGTTTGCGCTTACGATCCAGACGAGCAGTCCTTGGTGACGTGGCGTGTTGACGCGGAGTTGGCGAAGCGCTGAGGAGAAGAATTGTTGTGGATGGTTGAGCTAACGCTTGAACAAAGGCAAGCAGGCACGCAAGCAGGCACGCAGGCAAGCAGGCACGCAAGCGGACACAAGAAGAAGCAAGCAGACATACACACATGCACACCCACACATGCACACCCACACACCCACAAACAACGCACACACGCAACAAGTGTTCGTGTTCTGACCGTTGACACCGTCGAGTCTGATCTTTGCGTTTTCGTCCTTTGCGACGAGGTCGTAGAGTGCAACCTCGATGGAGTGCGAAATGGCCCTGAGATTAGCGGCGGCCCAAGCAGCACACGACCGCACGCTCGCGTACGGATCGCGGAAACAGTTGAGGAAGTGCGGTTGGATGCGACGCGGATACGTGCCAAGGTGCCCTGCCGTGCAATGCGTGGTGTCGGGATGGAGAATAAACGTAAGCTGTCGACTGGCTGGAGGGCGTGGACAGCAGGAAGGGTGACGCACAAATGCACCACCACCATACGCGTGCGTACCACATTCACTCACTAACTCACACACATACACACATACACACATACACACATACAGACACACACACACACACTCTCTCTCTCTCTCTCTCTCACGCACACACACACATACACACACACACAGCCTCCCACAGCAGCACACCAGCCAGACCAGCCAGGTGCACAAACGGACCAATCTTCCTGAGGGCATCGCAGCGAACGCGGTCTGCGGTGGAGGTGAGACGCAGCTCCAGCGAGTCGTACACGAGGTGGGTGTGGCCAGCCGATGTCAGCGTGGTGAAGCACGCATCCCGCACCTGTGGTCGTGAGCGAGCAGATGAGTGCACCAGGTGCAGTTGAGGAGAACAGTGAGCGACGAATCAAGGCGAAAGGGGCAAACCGCGCCAAGACACAGAGCAAACACGTGTCAGCATGAATTTGGCAGCCACACGCGTAAGCATCACCAGCACCAACTCACGTCCGTGTCCCAGTCGTCCCACATCATGGTGACGAGCTTGTGTGCGAGGTCGGTTGGCAGGAACGTGGCGAGCGAGGGCAGAACCTGCACGGCAGCACGCCGGACCTTCGAGTCGTCATCTGTCAGCAGGTTGGTCGCGTACACGCTGGTAAGGGGGGGGGGGCAAGTGTGAGGGTTGGAGTGTGGAGGAGGGGGGAGAGGCGGTTGGGAGGTGGTGTCGGTTGCATCGTCAGCCATTGTCGTCGTTCCATGTCGGGCACATAGCACGCACACACGCACGCACACACGCACACACGCACACAACCACACACACACACACACACACACACGCACACACACACACGCACACCGACTCACATGACGTCTGGGTTGCGGTGTGCGAGCTGTACAAGGAGCGTGTATGCCTCTGCGTGGTGCTCGCTGTCGCGCCTGGCAATGTGCTCAACAAGAGCATCAATCGTCGTCGGGTGGTTGTCGTCTGCAGACGCGAGACACCGCGCCGCCGCCCACCGCAGCGCCCCAGAGTCTTGGAGGCAGCGAGCGCGTGGGTTTGTGTTTGTGTGTGTGTGTGTGGGGGGGGGGGAATTGTGGGTGTTGCAAATGAATGTGAGGGGATGGGTGTGTACGTGTGTGTGTGTGTGTGTGTGTGTGTGTGTGTGTGTGTGTGTGTGTGTGTGTGTGTGTGTTGCGTGTGCGTATGGTAGTGCATGAGTGTCTGTGAGAGTGTGTCGGTGCGTGTCTGTTTTCCGTGCATGTAAGACGACACCCCAATGCGCAAGACCTTTTGTCATTGTTCGCCTGAGGATGGCAACAGGCTTGTCATCGAGGCCGCGCAGACAGATCCAGGACACGGCAGCGTGGAACTTTACCAAGAACACCCTGATGGCAAGACGGTGAGTCGTGAGGGTGAGATGTGCGTTGAGATAGGAGCAACTTTGTCGATGCACACACGCGCAGACACACACACACACGCGCGCAGACACACACACACACACACACGCACATGCATTCACACACTCATGCACACACTGACACACACACGGACACACACATACACACACACACTGTCCTGACCTGTCATCGAGGCACGCCTCCAAGCCTTCCATGACGTCCTGTGGCGGTGGGCGGATGGTTGCGTCCACAACACCCTCCGTCAGCGTGACGCCGCGCTGGCGAACAACATCGTGCTCGTTTGATTGGTCCTCAATTGCCTGCCGATCATCGTACACGCAGCACACGAGCATGAAACATGCGAGTGAGGTAGGGCAGTGAACGCACAGTGTACTGCGATGACGCACGCGAAGAAGTCCAACCAAATCTGTGTGTGTGTGTGTGTGTGTGTGTGTGTGTGTGTGTGTGTGTGTGTGTGTGTGTGTGTGTGTGTGTTGGGCACTCACCTGTTGGATGAGCTCAGGCGTCCACGTCGCAACGCGAACGTAGGAGACGCTTGGTTCCTGTCAATGCCAAAGGACAACAGGGAAGCGGAAGGCAGTGCTTGTGAGCAAGAGCACACAAAGAAAAGTGCAGACGACTCACACCCGTGTGCACACGCACACCCACGCACCGACGCACACCCACGCACCGACGCACACCCACACACCCACGCACACTCACGCACCACACACACACTCTCTCTCACACTCTCTCAAGCACATGAGACTGACGCTGGTGATGGGCCGGGATCCAGACTTGAGGTGATGGCGGGACTGCGCGGACTGAACAATCTGCCCAAGCTCGACCTTGATGATCTCATGCAGTGGCGTCTTTGGTGGGTGCAGTCGCTTGTGGCGCGAGTGTGCAAGCGCCCGCCCAAGCGTATCTGCGGCCCGCGTCGGCTGCTGTGTTGCGGACTGTGACGGCGATTCGGTGTCAGAGAACAAGGAGATGCTCATGTCGCTGCGTGCGCTGGCGGAGGTAACCCTGCTCGTCGCATCGAGGGGCACCTGCAACGTGCTGGACTTGCTCCGTGTTGGAGCGGATGGCCCGCTCGATGCCGGCGCACCAACGGCAACACCGCGCTGCGAGTACTGCGGCCGCCGGCCCTCGGTCCATCCTCTACGGCCGGACCCGGGCCTGCCAAGAGGGGCGGCAGTGGTGCTGCTGCTGGTGCTGCTGGCATCAACGACGCCGGGGTGTGCGAACAGCCGCCGCTGTTGATGCGTGAACTGCACTGGTCGAGACAGAGACAGCTGTTCTTGTTGTTCGTGTTGATGCTGGTGGTGTTCTTGCTGGTGATCCCGTTGTTGGTGGTGTTGGTGTGGCGATTGCTTTGGGGCTGAAGAGCCAGCAGCCTTTGAGGCCTGAAGGAGTGACTGCGGGATGCGTTCGACGGTGGCGGGCTGCCCCCGTCGCTTCAGCTCCGCCGTCGTCCATGTGCTGCTACCAGCATTGGTGCCTGTCCCCCTTGCTCGCGGCGACAGCTGCTGCGGCTGCGGTTGCTGTTGTTGTGATGGTGCTGGTGCTGTGGAACGTAGTGCAGACCTCGCACCGGCTTCGTGCCGCGCAGGTGACGCAAACAGCGGCACCGCCGACGACGGTAGCGCCATCTCGCAACAGATGGGTGGTTGTGTGGTCTGGTGTGTGTTGGTGTTGTGTATCTTCGTTGCCAACCACACACACACAAAGCACCAAACAAATCGCTCAAGAAGCAAGACAAGCAAGACAAGCAAGCAAAAGACGAAGACCGTTTCACAGCGAAGATGATGACCGGTGGTGGTGGTGGTGGAGACGGGAGGAAGAAGGATGGTGGTGCACTGGCAGCCGCTGTGTTTGGGGACGCACCAAGACAGCCCAGCACCGACATCCACTCCTCCTGGAAGACCGAGACGTACGCACCATCAAGCAGTGTGTGTGTGTGTGTGTGTGTGTGTGTGTGTGTGTGTGTGTGTGTGTGTGTGTGTGTGTGTGTGTGTGTGTGTGTGTGTGTGTGTGTGTGTGTGTGTGTGTGTGTGTGTGTGTGTGTGTGTGTGTGTGTGTGTGTGTGTGTGTGTGTGTGTGTGTGTGTGTGTGTGTGTGTGTGTGTGTGTGTGTGTGTGTGTGCTGCGCAACAATGCTCATGTGCACTGCTACGCGACACACTCACCGCCTCCCGCCAACGACACGTGCCCGCCACTCAACCTGTCCGTACGTCTCATGCTCCAGGTCGTTGGAGGATGCAAACACTCAAACACCTGCGATCATCACAAGTGACAACGCCGTTCAGAGCACAGAGATGGTTGACTCTGAGGTGCGTTTGTTGGTCCTGCCTGCTGCTCCACACCGCGCCTCTGAGTCGGCAACGAGCATGTGTGTGTGTGTGTGTGTGTGTGTGTGTGTGTGTGCGCGCGCGCGCGTGTCTGTGTGTCTGTGTGTCTGTGTGTCTGTGTGTCTGTGTGTCTGTGTCTGTGTGTGTCTGTGTCTGTGTGTGTGTCTGTGTCTGTGTGTCTGTGTCTGTGTGTGTTCTTCCATGGCTTGAGTCCCCTATTCACACTCCTGGCTCTCTCTTCGTTGATCTCCACGTGTGTGCGCGCACGCGTTCTGTGCGCGAGCAGATCCAGACAGAGGACATGGATGAGCCTGACGACCGCTACCAGCCCATCGCCGACGGCGACGATGATGCAGCGGCACCGATCGCCTCGTTCCTGGAGCGCATCGAGGCCGCCGTGTCGCGGCAGCTCGACCTCAACGCACGCAGCACCGCCTTTGAAGGTGTGTGTGTGTGTGTGTGTGTGTGTGTGTGTTTGTGTGACATGCGTGCGTGTGTGTGTGTGTGTGTGTTTGTGTGACATGCGTGTGGGTCCTGGAATCAGCGCTTTCTGTGCATACGCCTACCTGCCCCTGCCTCCGCCTGTTTGCGCATGAACCCCAAGGTCTGCTTTGCCCACTCTTGTTTCGCTGCCGCCCTCCCTTACCTCCCTTACATCTCCCCGCCATCCCACGATAGGCTTTGAGTTTGCATCCCACGGGTTGCGCGAGAGCAAGATCACGCACACCCTGAAGAACCTCGCGCTTTCCGCTGAGATGCAGGCTGTGTCCGCCGCCTTCAACAGAACAGGCAGCGTCGTTGCTGTCGCATATGGCCTCGCCGACAAGCAGGAGTGGTGGACAGCCACCTCCCATATCTGCACCGTGAGTGCCGTGTGTGCATGTGAGTGATGTTTGTGTCTGTGTGTCTGTATGTGTGTGCACTTGTATGTGTGTGCACTTGTATGTGTGTGCATGAGTATCCCGTGTCGTTTTGCGCGCGCGCGCGCGCGCGTGTGTGTGTGTGTGTGTGTGTGTGTGTGTGTGTGTGTGTGTCGGGGTGTGTGTATCTGTGTGCGCCTGTATTTACATTTGTGTGTGTGCCCCCCCCCCCCCAAATGACCTCACCTCCACCTCGTCCAACGGCTGCAGTGGAACCTGGACGGCATCCGATGTAATCCAAACAAACCAGACAAAGCAATGGAGCTCGAGGTGTGTATAAGTAAATGTGTGTGTTTGAATAAATGTGTTGTATACATGTGTGTGTGTTGTGTAAACCTGTGTGTACATGTGTGTGTATCTCCCACTTTGCGTCACGACCTGGCTCACTTCGTTCATTG